AATATTTTCAGTATTTCACCCTTTCACCCTTTTGTTATTTAAATCAGGGCCAAGAAATAGTCATCCAAACAACTACAGAGGCATATCTCTCCTGAACTGCTGTGGTAAGACATTTAACATCATTTATAGAAAAACGGTTTCGAATTTGATAGATATTAATGAACTGATTGCTGAATCTCAACTTGGTTTTAGCTCACAGTATTCCACTGTAGACCAAGTATTTACTTTACAATAGGCTTTATGTACAAAATATCTGAGTAAGCACAAAGGTAGATTTTACTGTGGATTTATAGATATTAAAAAGGCCTTTGACCTCGTTGACAGAAGAAAAGTGTTATATCTCCTTGTGAAAAATTGATGTCATGGTATAATCTATAATGTCTTTCAGTACATCAACTGGAGTTAAACAAGGGTGTATTTTAAGTCCTGTATTATTTATGTTCTTTATCAATTAACTTGTACATGAAATATATAACGTTTGTAATTATGGTATAGTTGTATTGATGATGTTGTTGTTATTTGCAGATGATGGGGTGGGTGGGGGCGGGGGTGTTTCGCTTTCCACTGTTGGCCTACAAAGGCAATTAGATGTCGTATTTGAGTATTGTTCGAAATGGGGACTGAGTATAAACATGGACAAATCAAACATAATTGTTTTAAAGAACCACTAAACTTTGTTTTTTGTTACTCTTTTAACCATTACATATGAAAGATTTGTGGTTAGTCTTATGCGGAACACCAAATTTATTCTTTAAAAACTTGTGGTTAATTAATACCGAGCAATTAAAAGTGGCCAAAAAGTCGCCTGCTTCCCTCTCGCCCGCCAACGAAACCTCAGACAGGTTACGTAACTGTCGCCACAGCGAACCGGAAGTGACGTCATATGAGGAACGATTTTCAGTTCGTTGTATATAAAATGTGTAGCAAGCTCGTCATTTTGATGATTTTTCGACATCAGCAAAGACATGCCAAATCGTTGCGTTGCCGTCAATTGCTCCAAAGTCGGGTCGGGTGATGGTGTCACCATGCACAGATTTCCACAGGACCCCGCAGTTCGTGCTAAATGGGTTATGTTTGTGAGTGCGAAGCGAAGCGTTGTGGAAGCCTGGAACGATATCTTACTTGTGTTCAGATCACTTCTCGGAGAGTTGTTATTATCGTTCCTTTGGCTGTGAGCAAAACAAGAGTTGGGAAAAAGCTCGAGTTACAGTCGTCGTCGTTTAGAGACATGGGCAGTCCCATCGATCCACAAGAAATTGAACCCTCGTTCCGGACCTGTTCCCGAATTTCATATGGATTTTGCTGGGAAGAGGAAGCGACCGGCCTTCGAGAAAGAGAAAGGAAAAGGGTGAGTCGTTCTTTAAATTCGCAGAAGAGATCATAATTTTATAACTTGTATTAACCACATAATGTCCCACGAACGACATTTACGGACACGTTTCTAGGTCGATTCTCGGCTCTGACCTGCCTAGTAAAAGTAGTAGAATAGAAATCGAGTGACTCGATACCCATCTTGCTTCAAGATAGAAGTACTCGTGTTAAAAGCCGTGTCATGCAAAATCCTTTCGGACACCATTCAAGTACATATTTAACTACAACCTTAAAGTATGTTTGATTATTTAACTTGATGAAAAGAAACCGTAATCGCATTGATTCTCGAACAGACTTCAGTCCGTCACGTGACGATTTTAAACAAAATGGCGGCGCCTTGTTGCGAATATATATGCGTAAATGCTATATATTGGGTTTTTCACAAAGTTACAAAATCAAAACTACTCTACTCTTTAGTAAAATGTGTATTTGATTCATGACCAAAAGGGCTTTGCATGACACAACTTTAACATAACGATTTCTACATGTTTTTAGAATCATGTTGAATATGTTTATGTTTCCTGTATCAGACAGTCAAGGCCCTGCTTGACCAAGTGGAAGGCCTCCCCATGCAGATACTGACAGTAGTAACCCCACAACTATACTTCATGAAGAGGTCAACAGCCAAATGTCATTTCCTTTGTCATTACCAGGTAATTCAATACCACCACAAACTTATTCATTTATAATACTTTGATATGTTGGCAGACATAGATTTATCATAATACATGCTTTCTTACAATGACTTTAAACTGAAATCATGAACTTTAAAACATTTTTGTACTAATCATAAAATCTTGACAGCCAAATGTCATTTCCTTGTCATTACCAGGTAATTCAGTACCACCACAAACTTATTCATTTATAATACTTTGATATGTTGACAGACATAGATTTATCATAATACATGCTTTCTTACAATGACTTTAAACTGAAATCATGAACTTTAAAACATTTTTTGTACTGATCATAAAATCTTGATGCATACTGAAATTATTATGTAATAATTTATTACACACACTACTTTCATTATTTTTAGTGATGTAGAGACAGATAGTTAATTCCAACTCTAAATTGCATTCTTCAGAGACACTTACCCCTTCAAGATGTGGCTGATGCTTTGCTGTCCTTATCCAGGTGGATATTAGTACAACCAGTACCCAAAGAACGGATACCACTGAAATGGTTTGTTTACACAGAATTTTGATGTTTTATATTTCTCTTTTACTTAGTCGCCTTGCCAGGTGATAACTATGTATCTTCTGATCAGTCATTATCACAACATTAGAGTGATGTCTTCTCAGGAGATTCAATTTTCAGTCAATGAAATGATAGTGATGATAATGTGATAATTCACTCTATATGAAATGTGGTATTCAACCTAATATGCTTTCTTTAGACATCACATTCCAACCTTCAAGATGTGACTGACGCTTTGCTGGCCTTGTCAGGAGTCCAGCGCCACGGCTCCCCCTCTAGAAGATATTACTGCCATGTGTACCTTTTAAAAAGGATACCACTGAAATGGTTTGTTTGCAGAATTTAATGTCACATAATGCTGTAATCGGAGTCACCAGTGTGTTCCTGTCCTTGTAATGTTTTCAGTAATCCTGAATATGTAGAAATTGCTATTAACCGCAATATGTGTGTGAAATTCTCTGAAATATTGGTGCAGTAGGGGAAAAGTACTTTGCAAGTTGTCTGAGGTGCATAATATCGTGGTTCTCATTTTCTTTCTGAAGTCCTTGAGCTATTTTCACACCTTGTTAATCTTGCCATAGCATCATGTAGCTGCATTTAAACGAAATTTCTCATTCTGTAAGTATTCCTACATTGTTATTATACAATTGAAATGAAAATGTGTTCTTTCCAAATTTCTTGTCTTAGTAACTACAACTTTAAAACATCTTTGTTTTCTGCAGGAGAACAGAAGTTCAAAGGCTTGTCAGACTCTGAAGAAGGATGGTGTCCATAAAAGATCAGTTCGGATTCAAACTAGACCTCATGTGAAGACAAAAGGTGACTATACTTACACAATTGAAAATTAGGGAAAAAGAAAAAGACCAAAAGTTAAATACTGAAAATGCATAGAATTATGAATATTATATACATGAATAATATGTGTATATTCTTGTCTATGTAATTAGTTACAATTGACTTACATTTTCTTTCTTAACCTCTGGAGTTACTTGGAGTCTGTTGTATGGTGATTAATGGCTTGTACAAGAATTTACATCTTGGATGTTATAAGTCGGATATTATTTTTTATTGAATGTCATTTTTATGGATGCCCATGGCTTTTCACCAAATGCATATTACATGTCACAATCTTGCAAGATCTTGTGGTCAGGAGTTATGTATGATTGTAATAATAGATACACATCTGAAAAAAAAAAAATTGAAGGAAGGCCAATGGAAATATAAATGATGTTTTTGCAGCTACAAATTACTGAGTCGGTCTCAAGTGGTATCTGTCGGTGTACAATGTTCACTTCTGCAAACACCTACTGTCCCCATGGAGGAAGAGGATATCAGTGAACTTGACCCGGGCACTGACCAACATTTGGAGTGTGAGAAAAATGATCCAACCTGGCTGCCCCAGGACAGAGAAGAGGAAATGAGAGAGGAATTTGAGGAATTTACAAAATTTACAAAGGTTAGCCTAATTGTCAAACAAGATTGAGTTAGTTGCAGACAAGGTTCAGACAAGGCAACGGTCAAATCAAAACTGCTTCCTTATTGATCTGGTTTTCTTGTTTCGCTATAGGGGACCCAGCTGAATTCTCAGGTTACTGGCATGAATTTCAAAATTAAGTATCTAAATAAACATTCCAGTATATTCTGTACAAAAGGATTTTTTTCACACAGTTATATTACTTCTAAAGTTATGAATCTTATTGTACCAACCACTGTCAAATATACTATATATAACATTCAGGTATACTGCTCATTATATGTTTTCATTCCATAAAGACTATGAAAAAGCATAAGTTAAAATAAAAGATTAAATTAAAGTGGATTTCAGAGATGTTATAAAACCAATATTAATCATGGAGCCATTCATTAAACAATACCTTACATGATCCGAATTAAATGCTAGCTCTTCTATTCTCTGTACCCAGAATGAAATTAATTGATCTCTAAGGATTTGACTAAGGTTCCATAAACTGAAAGTTGATGTGTTCCTTTTCTTTCAGGGAATCCACATCTCCAATGGATGACCGAAAGTACCTTGTGTTTGAGGGTCAACTTTTGAAACTGTTTGCAACGTGTCCTGTGTGTTGCTCAGAAACAGTTGTCAGGCGTAGCTGTCAAGGAACTCTCTTGGTGATCTTACAGACTTGTCATTCCTGTTCCTTCCACCGTGACTGGACTAGTCAACCCTTTCTAGGAAATTTCCGGCTGGAAATATCCTTCTATCTGCATCAATACTGTTTTCAGGATCATTGCCTATTCGGGTGTTTACTATGTTAGAGCATTTAGGACTTGTTTCGATGAGTATGCAGTCTTTTTTCAAACATCAACGCAACATCTTGCACCCAGTCATTGAGTCAGTGTGGAAAAAAGAACAGCAGGCTCTGATCACTGGCCTGAAAGAGGAAGGATCTCTCCACTAGTACTGGGAGGCGATGGCCGGGCTGATACTCCCTGGACACAACGCCAAGTTCGGATCCTACTCCATGATGGACTTAAAGACCAAGAAAGTTGTTCATGTCAGAGCTGGTTCAGGTATTTACATTTTTTTAACTTTTTGCATAGCAATCTTATGAATCACTTTCATAGCTGCTACTTGAATTATAAGATAAAAAAACCATGTATTTTCTGTTTGGGTTAAGTATTTGTTATTTATATTGATTAGGTCAATGTTGCTAATGGTTAGAGTCGCAAACTTGAATTGTTCATAAGGTTCAATTATTAGCTGAAATGTTGTGAGGACCGTTTTGCATCTAATCGTCTAGTCATCAAAAAGTGGAATGTGTGTCGTCAATTTACTGTGTGTAAGTTGACCATAAAAGTTAAAAAGTGAAGTGACGTGTGTATTGTTATGTCAGGTGTGTCTCGTTAGTTTACTGGGTGTAAGATGACCATAAAGTTAGATAAGTGAAGTGACGTGTGTATTGTTATGTCAGGTGTGTCTCGTTAGTTTACTGGGTGTAAGATGACCATAAAGTTAGATAAGTGAAGTGATGTGTGTATTGTTATGTCAGGTGTGTCTCGTTAGTTTACTGGGTGTAAGATGACCATAAAGTTAGATAATTGAAGTGACGTGTGTATTGTTATGTCAGGTGTGTCTCATTAGTTTACTGGGTGTAAGATGACCGTAAAGTGAGAAACCTGACCTGAGATATTTTTTTTTCCAGTCCAATGAAGTAAAAAATTCTAACGCTATGGAAAAGGAGGGGTTCCAGAGGAGTGTCCAACTTTTGCAGGCAGAGGGTTTGACACTTAGCACTTTAATAACAGACCGTCACCCTCAGATCCAGAAGTTGGTGAGAGAAACCATGCCAGCAGTCTCTCACTTTTATGATGTGTGGCATGTGGCTAAAGGTAGGTCACAGGGCTATACAGTTCTTATTTCGTCAGTTTAGTTTACCAAATAATGATTTTTGTTGCAAGCTACCTATACACAAATACATGCTTGATGCACTACAGGTTGAACATGGGCACATGACCATGTACACAATGAGAGCTTATTCCTAAGCATTTAGACTCCTACGCTAAATGTTTCAACTCTAATTATGATTCCGTAAAAATTCTTGTCGGAGGTCTTGTAAAGGCCTGGTAATCATTTGATAAAATATTGGCATGTCAGCGCTTACTAGAGGAAATATGGCACGCATATGATTTCATTATAAGGAATTGCTTTGGCTATTGCGGACGTAAACTGTTTTCTTGTTGTAGGTCTCCGAAAGAAACTGGAAGCTTTAGCGAAGGAGAAAGATTGTGAAGCACTGAGCCCTTGGATCAAAAGCATCGTTAACCACCTTTACTGGTGCGCCGCGTCCACCCCTCATGGGGATCCGGAGCTGGTGCTAGAGAAGTGGCGCTCCGTGATCAACCACGTTCAAAAAAACATTCACGTGGGTCACGGAGCAAAAGGTTCAACGAATGCCAGCATCCCTGGAAGGAAGCGAGGCACCCAAAAGAAGTGGTTGAAATGTGGTGTGTATTGATGACATTATTTAGTACTAATATAACCAATTACATAAAGGATAAATAAATAGTATTTAGATTGATCTGTCATAGTCAAAGAGATGGAACTTGATATCTTTCTGAGTTACAAGTAACAGCATAAGGTTAAATTTGTTGTTCAGGCACCAAAGCTGCAGAGAAGCTTGGTCTATTGTTGGAAAAGCCACGCCTATTGAAAGACGTCAGGAAGATCTCCCCACAGTATCAAACGTCGGCAGTGGAAAGCTTCCATCGGGTCATCATCAACTTTGCCCCCAAGATGGTTGGTTTCTCCTACATGGGCATGCTCTCCAGGTAAGAACAAAATCGAATAAAAGTACCATGAACCGACTCATTGGCAACCATGATTAACTTCTAGTTGCGTATTTCATTCTTACTGATTCTGTGTCTTCAACCTGACTGGATAATGAGATTGATAATTTAAATAGGTAAAATGAATAATTTCTACTATTATGAGGGATTATGAGTTACATTTTTCTTTTAAATATTTTTGCAGGCTGTATTTGTCAGCAATGCATTTTAATGAAAACGGCACCCGACCTCAAGCACATGATGACAATGGAGAGTTTAAGTTCAGGATAAAATACAAGAAATATAGGAGGGACAACATGTGCTGACAAAAGCAACAAGTGACATGACTCATGGTATGTTTGTACAAATTATTTCACACGTAATATTAACCCATTTTAGCCAAACATTTTTTATTCTCCGTAACAGTTTTGCGGGGTATTAAAATGGACACTGTCTGTGCGTCCGTCCGTGCACATTTGTCTTTTCCGGAGCAGAACTCTAAAACTCTATATTTCTTTACCAAACTTGGCACAGACAGATCTGGTGGTGTACTGGTAGTTTTGGGATTCTGAATAAAATATTTTTGGCGTTTCCATGGCAACAAGTTTACATAGCCTGAAATTGGTGATAGTGCTTCTTTATGGAGCAGAACTGTAAAAACCTTTCAATACTCTCCTTGCACTTTTCTATGTATACATCTAAATATTTGACATAATCATGTAGACAATCATGTAGAGTATTTTGCCATTGCTGGGGATATTGATGACTTTGTCTTCTTGTTTCATATAAATTGTAGTCAGAATATTTTTGATTGACACAATACAACAATAAAGAAGTTCATATCATTTGACCTGTTGTTTTATTACGGTAAAGGGTCACCAGTCCATTTCACATTCATGTTTCACATTCAAATGATTGAGTAAGATTTTCACTTGTTTATTTTTTATTCAGACTATGTTGGAAGACTGCTGACAGAGGTGTGTAAACAAAGCCAGGCAGAGCGAGAACACAGAGCTACCACGTCACACATTGTTGTCCCAGTACCCTTAACAAAGCCAGTTTCCTCGAATCAATATGGACCAAGCCATTCAATCTCATCTATCGAGATTCAACAACTAAGCAGCTCAATTCATGCAATTTCTATTATAAACTTATTCATTCTGTCCGTCCTTCCATCCTGAAGCTTTTTACCGGTATTCAATGTTCACCAATTTCTGGTGTTGTAATTGACTTTACAAATGTATTCATGGCCTGTATGTCTATAAATGCATGATAGACAATCCAGCAAACATGCAAAATATCCTCATGTTTGAAAATGTGTATCAGTTATTATTCAAGTAAAAGGAAAAGGTTTTTGTACAAGAATAATTTATTTAACAGGAATTGTTAAAGATAAATACAATAACATATCAAACAATAAATTTACAGTACATTTAACTTGTCATCATCATGTCCATTTTAACGATAAATACAATAACATATCAAACAATAAATTTACAGTACATTTAACTTGTCATCATGTCCATTTCACAATGTAGGTAGACATTATACCCATGTACGAAATACAGAATTTGACTGTTCAAGTTGTTCCCTTTATTTGTCCAGTTGAGGATACTTGAAACCCTGCATATTCAGGGAAGGAAATCGTCCTCTTATCTTGTTGACGACACAGGAGGGTATGACAACACGAACCTTTCCGCCCTAAGAACTGCCAACACCATCGCACGAACTGCCGATATGCTGTATATCTGTATTTCCTATGAAATAAAAGTGTAAAGTAAGTTTGATTCAAATTGTATTCAACAGAATGCACTGATTAGATTCTGGACTAGTCATCTTTTTACAACAGCTACAGTTTAAAGTTTACAGTTTACTTTACTCCTCAGAACACAAAATGATTCTAAAAACCATGCCATGCTCACTTATGAATGTCTTGGATCTCCCCTCTTCCATACTCCTGGCGGTAGTGGTAGTAGGCTGTCTGCAGTGCATACACACTGAGACAAACTTGCTCGAAGCCAGGGTGGTCAGTGATGCAACTGATCTGATCTTCATGCTCCTCCATCTTCTCTCTCACTGCAGCCTGTTCATGACAGCAACAGCATTCCTCAATGGTAGGTTGAGTCTCACATGTGTCACAACTGCACCTGCAAGGATTTGAAAAAAACTGTTAATAATAAATGTTGTATCATTTTTCAATTGACTGGTATTTATAAAATTCTTATTTATTTATTTCATCTCTTACATATTAGGGTGATACAATCAAGTACTTTTTGTTAGCAGTTTTAGGAATTCCTTCAGATTATGAACAAATGAGAGGCACTATATTCACTCAAGCTAAGCCAACTGGTTTAAACTTTGATTCCCAATAAAGATGGGACCTGACTGGTAAGCATTCAATGTGCTTGTACGATAACTGCTCCGGTAAACCATGACAGAATGTTTACACCATGATCAAATACAAATACACATGCCAATGAACATGTAAACTGACATAAAATTTTATAGATTCCTACAACTGTACCCAGTAATGACATTTCATATGCGGAAGTGGTATTTTTTCTGGGCCTATTATTCTCAGCTGTGTAGTAAATGTATATAATAAATCGGATGGCTCGCCCCCCTACCTTGCTTCCAAGTTTGAAAAGGCTTTTCAGAGTTGTCATGCAAAATCCTATTAACCATCTATTAAATACATACTTTACTACCAGTAAAACGTAATATTGATTTTGTAATTCGGTGAAAACAAACCTAAACATTTATTCCCAGACTGGCGGATGTTTGCGCATGGGCGCCGCCATTTTAAAAAATAGTTACGTCTCGGGCTAAAGTAAGCTCGAGAATCGATGAGATTATGGTTTGTTTTCATCAACCTGGAAAATCACAACTGATGTCTACTCGTAGTTGCATATGTATGTGAATCATGACCAAAAGGATTTTGCATGACACAACTTGTAACATAACGATTTCTTCCACGGAAGCGAGGTGGTGTTCAAAGTGACAAATGCGGTATGGTATTACCCGATACATTTCAAGCTACAGTACATTCACGTGGTTGACGTCCACTCACCAGTATGTAGACACTAGTCGATCTTCTTCCTGTAACCGTGATGAGCAAGACTGGTCACCGTTTTCACTATCACTAGCGTCCGGCTCGAACAAATAAGGCCTTGCAATTGTTTCTTCATTGGTATCCGAGAAACAGTCACTGCTTGTGGACTGGCAATCCATGGAAAGGGAAAGACTGTCGCTGTCTGAATAACTTCCGGACATGTCAGAGTCTGCTTTGTAACGAAATGCCAATCCACCGAATTAACCATATTTAAGTCACTTGACATAAAATGTTTTAACACAAGAGTAAATTGGGGAACAAAAGTCAGACCAAGCCAACAGGTAACCCCCTATGACAACAGGCGAGTTTCACAGAATCGTCTTATAAAACAAGCTGTAACTCGGAAGCTTGGCAAAGCAGGTGACAAGATTAAATGACAGTAGATTGTGAAAACATAAAGCTTTCACTGTTCACAACAATTGTCACGATTTCAGGTTTATACAAGCCTGTACACAAGATAATTTACCCCCTAAAATGTAGATGAATACTGCATAGGCCCTCAAAGCTATTCCTCATATGACGTCACAGAGTCGCGCCGCTCTGATTGGTTGAAATTTCGTTCGCGGGTGAGAATTGTGCACTGTTGTCAAAAAGGTCGATTTAAGTCAATTAAAGGTCGAAATGAGTAGTTTTAATGACGGGGTTTCATTTATAACGATGCCAGTTAGTGATTTATGTATTTTTACCCCCTAGGGTTTATGTGACCTTTAAGAAATGGAGGTATACTTTCCAAACATGAAAATTAATTTAAATCTTGAAGCTGTAATTTATTAGAAGTACCTGGGTATTGTGTTTTCATCAATATTGATATGGACAAAAGCCTGTGAAACTTTGGTTATGCAAGCACGTGAAACAATGGAACCAGTGTTAATTTCGTTGAATAATAAACTGCCTAACAAACAAGTACCATGAAGTTATAGAAAAGTACAAACAAGCTTCTTTAAACGATTTCTGGGGGTGGGGAAATATGCTGCAAATAAAGCTATTCTTGGAAAAACTGGACGGCACTGTTATAAACACGACGACAAAAGTTATAAAATATTGGATTAAGTTATTAAGAATGAATGTTTCAAGTCATCCTTTACATTGTTATGAAATGCTTAAATTACATGACGAGCATTGTAAAGTTAACAGGGTTTCTCACGTTCGTGAGATGTTATTTACAAGTGGTTTTAGCTGTGCATGAATTCTGCAAGATGTTGGTGATGCCACTATTTTTATATGTACATTCAGAAGACGTTTGATTGATATGTACATTCAATCCTGGCAGCAAAGTATTGAATCATCATCATATTTGTCACACTATCCTACTATACTCGTCACGATATGGCTGAAATATTGCCGATGTGACGTTAAATAATAACTCACTCACTCACTCACTCACTATCCTACTATAAAGAACTTATTCCAATGCGAAACATATATCCATAAACTTGATAATAGAAACTTAGGTTGATCCATGTGTAAATTTCGTACATTCAGAGTTCATGATTTCAGAGTTCATCAACAACGTAAAAGGAAAGCCAATGACAATTCTGATATAGAATCTATTTGTTTGCACTGTGATATGAATGTTGTAGAAAATGAATACCATGTTTACTCCATTTGTAATAGATATTCTCCTCTCCGTAACGAATACTTCTTGACCATCCTAAAATATTAGATTAGATTAACATTACAACAAATATTAAACACACCTGATGTACATATACGAGTCAGTGAGTGAGTGAGTTGAGTTTTACGCCACACTCAGCAATATTCCAGCAATATGGCGGCGGTCTGTAAATAATCGAGTCTGAACCAGACAATCCAGTGAACAACAGCATGAGCATCGATTACGCAATTTGGAAAAGATGACATGTGTCAACCAAGCCAGCGAGCCTGACACCCGATCCCGTTAGTCGCCTCTTACGACAAGCATGGGTTACTGAAGGTTCATTCTAACCTGGACCTTCACGGGTAGTGTACATATACTACGTTTAACCTCTATATATTCGCTAAAACATATTAAGCTTAAGATCTTCTTAATATATCTTGGTCTTGCTTTTACCTCATAATACATAATTGTACTATGGGCCATTTGGCCTAAAATACGGAATGAACTTGACTGATTGATCTTGATTCAAGTGTTTAGAGTACCATCATATAACGATTACAGCTTAAAGCAAACATGATTTGGGTTTAACGATATATGTTTGTACTACTTACCTTTCA